ATTTCTTTCTCCCTGAAGGAGGAAATAATTCTCGAGATTGACAGTAGTCATCAAAGAAGCCAACTAAGGGAATTAAATGACCCTTTGACATCTTTTATTTGCTTCATCTCTGACAGTACTAGAGTTGATTTTGGAAACACTGATCATTTGCCCCCTTTGAATCAGCTATAACCCGCCTTATGGGCAAAATCTCCAACTGATATTGGCAAAATTCACAGCACACCTCTTACCAAGATTCAGATATATTCCTCAGAACTTCTCCCCAGAATTAATCAATATTCTACAAGAAACCCTTCAAGATAAAAAGCCCATAATAGAAAATTGCAAGCCTCAAGGTCTCACCTCTTGTACTACTCCCAAGTACATTATCCCTCGTCCTACCTGTAAGACTTCTATTTTACTGCTGAGAAAACCTAAAGGAAAGGGGTGGAGATTTGTTCAGAACCTCTGAGCAATAAACAACATTGTTATCCCTCCACACCCTACTGTTTCTAACCCTCACATCCTTACTAACATCCACTTCCACCAGAAGCAAATTCTTTACTGTGACTGATTTATACAGTGCATTCTTTAGTATTCTAGTTGATAAAGTTAGCCAATACATCTTTGTGCTCACTTGGGGAAAAAAATTTTTTTTACCTGGATAGTAATGCCTCGAGGTTTTTTTACTGAGTCCTCTTATTCCTCAGAAATCCTGAATGCTGACCTGAATGATATAAAGTTCCCTAGGGTTTCTACTTCATTTGCCCAAACCAAGATGTGATATTTAGGGCATCTGATATCAGAAGAAGAGCTACTCTAGATTGAGATAAGCTTCACGGTTTCCCAAAACCCCAAACTAAACACCAACTGCAAGATTTTCTTGGACTATTTGGTTATTGCTAAAATTGGATTCCAAATTTCTCTCTTATGGACAAATCTTTATATGTTTTATTAAAGAACAACATCACTGACCCAATTTATGGGAAGAACTGGACAACATAGCCTTTAAGAACTTAAAGGAGAGTTTGACAGACTTACCTGTCCTGGGATATCCCAATTATCAGATTGTCTTTTTCCTTTTTGTAAAGAAAATGAAAGGAATACCCTTGGGTTACTTACTCAAAGACACAGGGACCACCATTGGTGTGTGTGTGTGTGTGTGTATAAATAAAATAGGGTATTATAGCCAGCAACCGGACACTGTGGCATGGGGACAACCCCCTTGCCTTAGAGCCGTTACTGCCACTACTTTTGTGGTTAAGGCTGCTGAGGAAATCATTATGAGATCCCTTTAGTCATTTTTGTACTTCATGCGGTAGAAGCCCTCCTGAATTCTCATCACACGCAACAGTTCTTTGTCAGTCACTTTACCTCCTATGAAGTCTTTTTGTTAACTGCTCCTCACATAACTCTACATTGTAGTAACTTGAACCCTGATACTCTTTTTCTCTGTCTCTGACCAAGTCTGTCACGACTGCTTGATGCTAACTGATGACCTCTTGACTCCTTGTGATCATCTGCGAGAAATTCTTTTGGGTAATGCTGACTTGTCATGCTTCCCTGATGGTCGTTATTTCAAGAGTGGCAGTATCATGCTGGGTGTACTCTTGCAACTTCTTTCAGTATTGTTGAGGCACGGTTTAACCTGTGGTTACTTAGGCGTAACTGGCTGAGTCATACACTCTTACACAGGCTTGTACTTTAGCCAAGGGCAAAGATGCCAACATTTATACTGATAGTAGATACGCTTTTGGAATAGTTTATGGGTTTGGAATGTTGTGGAAGCAATGTGGCTTCCTTACTTTCAGCGAAAATAAAATGTCAGAAGGCCCTTATGTTCAGGAATTATCAGATGCAATACTTTTACCTGCCACTTTAGCTATTATTAAGATTCTGGGGCATTCTAAACTTGACTCTGGAAGCTAAGGGAAATTACCTTGCTGACATTTCCACGAGGAATACTGTCCATAAAGGAGTCAAACCTCAAAGTGGTATTACCCCAGGTGATAAATTAGAAAAACTGTCTAGAGAAACCCAACATTTGGCCTCAGAAAGGGAAAAATAAGATTGGAAATTCAACAATTGTGTTTAATAAAAAGAGAAAGACCTGGTCTTCTCATTTTTTAATTGGGTTGTTTGTTTGTGTTTTTTTTTGATGTTAAGTTGTATGAGCTTTTTATATATTTTGCATATTAACCCTTTATCAGTCATATCATTCGCAAATATTTTCTCCCATTCAGTAGGTTGTCTTTTAATTTTATTGATGATTTCCTTTGCTATGCAAAAGATTTTAAGTTTAATTAGGTCACGTTTGTTTATTTTTGCTTTTATTTTCCTTGTTTTAGGAGACAGACCCCCCAAAATATTGCTATGATTTCTCCATGACAAGGAGTGTTCTATCTATGTTTTCCTCAAGAAATTTTATAGTATTCAGTCTTGGATTTATGTCTTTAATACATTTTGAGTTTACTTTTGCGTATGGTGTTAGAGAATATTCTGATTTCATTTTTTTATATGTAGTTGTCCAGTTTTCCCAGCACCACTTAAGAAACTATGTGTTATAGTTTATCCTCTAGGGGGTAAACTTTAATACCAGCTTGCAAATTCAGTTGTATTATTACCCAGAAGCTCTAAAATTTATGTTTGAGGATTTAAAAGAATAAAATTATTAGGAGATTAAGTACCTTTCTCACACAATATTGAGTCTGTTACATTTTTACCCCTATTTCAAAACCTGAGTCTTAAGAAAATAAAAAGACAAGCCACAGATTGGGGGAACATATTTTCAAATAATACATCTGGTAAAGTATTTGTATCTGGACTATATAAAGAATGCATATAACTCAGTAATCAGAAGACAAATCACCCAGTTTAAAAATGGCCAAAAGATATGAATAGGCAGTTCACAAAAATTTATATATAAATGTCTGATAAGCTCGTGAAGAGATGTTCAACATCATCAGTCATTAGGAAAATGCACCACAAAATCACAATGAGACATTACTATATACCCACTAAAATAGCTATAATAAAAAAGACTGACAATATCAAGTTTTTTTGAGAATGAGTAAAAATTGGATCCCATATATATTGCTGGTGAGAATGCAAAAATAGTGCAGCTACTTTGGAAACAGTTTGGTGGTTCTTCAAAAAGTTAAACATAGAATTACCATATGATTCAGTAATTGGAGAATTGGAAACTTGTTTTCACACAAAAATTTGCACATGAATGTTCATTGCAGCATTATTTATAATAGCCAAAAAAGCAGAAACAATGCAGAAGTCCATCAAGTGATGAATAGATGAAATGTGCTGTATCTGTCTATACAATAGAGTATTATTCAGTAATAAAAAGGAATAGCTATTGATACATGCTACACTATGGATGAAACTTAAAGCATGACATTAAGTGAGAGAAACCAAATACAGACGACTACAAATTGTATCCTTTTACTTATAAGAAATCTTGAGAAAAGATTAATGTACAGAGATGAAAAATAAATCAGTTATTCCCTGGGGCTGAGAGTAGGAATGGGAGTGACTGCAAGTAGGCCCCAGGGAATTTTTTGGGGGTGGTGGAAATGTTTTTAAATTAGACTGTGTTGGTTGTTGCACAACTCTACAAATTTATAATACTTAACAATAATAAAACACTAAAAATCATTGCATACTTACAATGGGCAAATTTTATAATATGTACATTGTAATTAAATTAAGCTGTTTTAAAAAGCTTGAAGATCACAAATTCACTTATATATTTCCATTAATAAATGAAAGTACTGAATAAGTATTCAGAGGATTTAACCTTTCAGATTTCATCTTCTTTCAGTCTTTAATGAGGAAAGTGGGTCTAGCTCAATAAGTATACTCAATACTTAGTAAGTATACTTGTCTAAAGAAAAAAATATTTACCACTCTGCAGTTTCAGATACTAGCTTACTGAATTAAAGTGTTTATGAGTTAGGTTGTAATCCAATGGCTGCTTATGCAGAAATCAAAATATCAATAAGAAAACTAAGAGATACTGCCTATGACATGATTAAATAAAAACACATGAAACACACACACACACACACACACACACACAAGTAAGGAATTTATTTTCAATGATAACTTTGGGTTTCTTTACCTAATCTTATTCTGTATACTCCTGAGGGAGGCAGTGAATGAAGATTTACCACATGACGGCAAAAAGATAATCAAAGCCTATTATAAGCCATTGGGAGAGATTACTATTTATCTTTTCATAGTGTTTTCAAGTGTGGCACGTTATAATTTCTTTTTGGCATTTCTTGCATTGTTTGTTCTGATAATCAGAAAGACATTCTTCATGCCATTTGAATTAAAACCTCCCTTCCTATAACTTACCTTGGGACAAAAATAGGGAAGAGTTTTGACTCTGTCCTGAAAATGTGCTGTTACTGAACTGATAGCCATAATTACTAAGTTTCTACTGACTCCTAGGCTGTGTAATGAAAGGCCCTGAGATGAGTTTGAAGGAGAAAGTTGGAGTGGCTTCAATTCTTCCTCACAAGAAAATATGAATTTTTTTTTTCCCTCATGAGAGATGGTGCCCAGAATAGAAGAGCTAGAAGCAGGAGGCAGTTGCAGAAATACTCACAGGGCTTTTTAGGAACAAGAATTTCAGTTTTATTTTTTAGATATTTATTTCTCCAGGGTAAATTCCCTCTACATTCCCGAAAAGTTGACGAAGTCAGCTCTTCTTAAAAGCATGTGTGAATATATGTGCATAAATGTTGTTTATGGATGATTGAAGGGATGAGACAGAAAAAAGCAAGAAAAGAAGCCAAGGTCCTGTGTGAACGCATTTGGACTGACAAGAGTTAGTAAATGTAAAATGGATTCAGTAGAAACAGAACCAAAAATGATCATGGAACCATAAGCTTCCTGAAAATTCTTAGAGATTTGGGGGAGAGTAAAACTCCTCGTATATGGGTTTAAAAGAAAGTGTCAAAATATTTGTTTGTATTAACACATAGTATTTCTTTTGTTTTCAGAGGTCACTGAAGAGATGTATGGTGAGACATATTGTGAAATGCTTGGATATACTACTTCCTTTGGCTGTTTGAGTACTATACATCTGACATACACAAAAAACTATTAGAGAAGAGAATTGGCATGTGTGTAGGTGTTTAAATCTGTCCTATAGTAATATTATCTTTAATCCTGTAACAATAATATTTGATGAATAAGGCCAGACCTAGTTTATGCTTTTAGGATGTCTACAGTATAATTTATAAATGATATACTCTTCTATGTATCCCCAAGCCTGCTCTCCAGTGCTACTCTACTCTCCCCAACTCTGTTTACTGATTTCCCTGGTAAGAAATTCTGGATTTCTACATAATGTACTCGTACTGCTGTTTCTCAATTTGTCATTTGGGACTTAGTTTTCTTAGAGTTCAGTTCGGAAAACTGCAACCATTCTAGGCATTTAGAGTAGGGAATTAGGTGATTATCAAATTGTTAGTGGAGGGGCAGGCAACAATTCAGTGGGAGGCAAAGGCCACACAGGACCGTTGGATTCAGTGGCATACCTTGCAAAGTGTGTGGCAAACTCATCAAGTCCAGACTAGACATTATAGTGTGAAGTCTGCCCACTGCAAACACTCTTATCTGTTCACCTTGTTTACCCACAGCCACAGTACAAAGAAATGGACTTTCCCTCACTTCTGTCTTCCAAATCTCAAGTGAGTACATCTTACGACACAACTTAAATTTTATGCAGAACTGTAGCGTCAAGACGATTTGGGAAATATGGCCAATTTTAGCTTCCCAGCCTCAGTGATTAAGGGAATATCTTGAAAGGGTGAGAATGTGTATTGAAAACCAAACAATCATACCTAGCACATGACCAATGTTCCACCATCTCTTTCCCTTCTACTACATCCCTCCATGTAGTAACATGATAAATTTGGGCTAAATCAACACTGTTTACATTATTATGACTGTGCAAATGTTATGCACTATTAAGCCATGTTATGTGTGGCATCACATCTCTTTCTCATATAATACTTTTCCTTGCAGTCAATAATTCTGTTATTTATTCATTTGCCTGATTTACTTGCTAGTTTTTTCCAAATACTACATTTCTGTCACATGCCTGTCAACAAAATTTTATGTATATTTAGATGCAGCATGAATTGGGGAAGAGGGGTAAATATGAGGGAGCTAGCTTGTATGTTTGGCTGCTGTTCTAAGTAGGGTAGAAAAACATAGTGTAGAGAGTAGGGTAGAAAAAAGTCTCAGCCTTTAGTGTTCACATTTTCACTTAATCCTCTCCTCTGTTTTCACCCTGCCATGCCCCACACTGTGCTTTAGTTTATGAGAGTCCAGTGCTTCTCTGAGTCAATTTCTGGTCCTCAATGCGTGAGGTGAGACGGGGATTTAAACTTTCAACCGCTTAGTGTACAAACATACAGACCTTCAACTAGGCCCTGGTTTTAGCTGATTCCATCCACCCCAACCCTGCCTTTTCCCATGAGAATTCAGATATCTTAGCCCTGAGCCTTTAGCCAACAAAATTGGCCAGTTTACAGGTATACCTCTCTACAGACACTTAGATCACACTGCTAAATTATTTATCCCTTCTCCATTTGTTGAAATGTTTCTCATCTACTGTTGTCCATTCTTGTCTTTCTTATAGTTTATCTTCTTTTAATTCTTCTCTTTTTCTTCTTTTTTTTTTGTGAGGTTCATGAGAAGAGAAGACATTTAAAAAAATTATCAATTAACTATGCTTAACTGGAGATCTATGCCTTCCTGCCCCCACCCAAAACCAACTCATATTTTCTCAGTAAAGCTTATTTGATTTTTGTTAGATAATTATGAAATCTTAGAAATGTTTAACCCATTTTTACATATAGAGAAATTAAGGCTCAGAAAGTTTAAATAATGCATTTAAGATTAAATAGGTAGAAAGTGGCAAAGCTAAGACTGAAAATTTGGCATCATGAATTTCTAGCGTAGCCCTAGCACCTGGAAGCCTAACAGCATTGTAGATATATTACTGTAAATATGGATTAAATGAATAAATGATTTCAATAGATTCTCATCCAAACTTTCAGTTAACTATCCTATCAGGCATGCTGGTAATATTCTGTATCTTGGTCTGGGCTCTTATTTTATTGTGTGCCCAGTTATGAAAATTCTATTTTCTGTATGAATCTTATCTGATGAAAGGGTAGAACCTGGAAAATCAGGAAGGATAAGGACTTGCATATGGCAATAAGGAAGATATGGAGTGAATGACCCTTCAAAGTATGTTGTGGGGAAGTCTGGCCTGCAGTTAGATCATAGTATCCAGAGGTACTGCTGCAGAAAGACAGTCCAGCCCAGTGGTATGAGTTGCATCAGAGAGTTTGAAGATGTAACAAATGTTGTCAAGCAGGTGTACTGAGGGAAAGGAATATAAAAAGCTAAAACTAAAGCAGATAAAAAGCAATTGTAGATTTTTAGTAGCTATTAGGGCCTACAACCTGAAAGGGAAGCTAGGAACCAAGACTAAAGCATTGGCAGGTTTTCAAGAATAAATTCATGATTCATTTCTTAAACCATCTCCAGTTTTCTCATATCCCTATAAAACCATGATGATAAAACTAACTTGAGTGCTCCAGAAGTGTGACTAATGTTTTAGTCAGTACACTACAGTTTATAAAAGAAATGAGATGAGAGTACAAAAACAAATGTGATACATTATGTGAAAAGACTGTTAAGAAAAAGTACTGTGCCTATTTTGTATATTTTAATTTTAAACAATTTTAATTTTTAAAATATAAATCACTCATGATTCCACCACTTTTTTGAGTATATAATATTTTTATGACAAAGTTACCAACAGTGTCCAGTTGGACTGCAAACATTAGCTTCCATTATTGTTTAAATATTTTATGGATATATGATAAACATGCAGAAAAGTGATCATATTGTAAATGTAAAACTCAGTGGATTTTCACAAGCTGAACACTGCTGTGTCAGGAAACCCAGATCAAAGCAAAGAACATTAGCAGTGTTGCAGAAGCTCTCCTTGTGTTCCAAAGGCACTAACCAATACCCTCACCACGCTCGCAAAGGTGACTACTATCCTTCCAAGCATTGTATATTAGTTTCATCAGTTTTTATATTTTTTATGTATAGAATCATACATTATACACTGTTTTTGTATTTGACTTCTTTCACTCATCATTGTTCATGAGATTCTTCTGTATCATTAGGTATAGTAGTAGACCATTCTCATTTTTGTACAGTATTCCATGTTGAGAATATATTACTCTTTATCCATTCTGCTGTTGATGGACTATCAACATATCAATTATTTAAAAGAGAGAATTTAATAAAGAATTGGCTGAGTAAGTATAGAAGAGCTGAAAAGACAGAAGGGAACATTAAGGTAATACAAAGATATTAATTGCAGGAAGCACCTGTAGGGTTCATGGACAAAGGGAAGAGGCTGAGACTATTAGAGCCTGGGTGTCTGAAGGAGTAGTTCTGCAGAGCAGACAGCTAGACACTTGAAGAGAGGTTGCTGCTCAGTTGGTGCTGGTACCTCGGGACCTTGGAAGACGAGTTCTCTGAGGGCTGTTGTTGATGCTGATGTCTCCGAGTGAGATGAGGAGGCTGGTTCTGGGAGTGTGGGAAAAACTGGAACCTGCAACCAGTTGCTAACCCCAGAGTGAAGAATCATTACTGGGGTGAAGCTGACAGAAACAAGGAGCAAAACAGGAAGGAATCCAGTTCCTTTCCCCTCTTCCAGCTCCCCAGGATCTCTTTAGCAGCCCCTTTTGGCAGAACCTAATGTAGTTATCTGACAAAGTGGAAATGTGGTTCGCAGAATTCACGTTTCATCATAACAAAACAGAGTACAGACTGGTGGTTTCATAGCTGAGAAACAATAACTGGAAACCTGTAATTTCCAGGTTTTGTAAATCTGGCTTGTTACCAGTCATGATGCTGTGAACATTCTAGTTCTTGTGTTTTAGGAAACATGTATTTACATTTCAGTTGGGTTTATACCTCAGAGTGGGCTGCTGAGCCACAGACAATGCCTCTATTCAGTTTTAGTAGATACTGCTAAATGATGTCCAAAGCTATACAAACTCATACTTTCACTAGCAATATACAGCTCCTTCACATCTATGCTATCATTTTAGCTGTTCTGGAGGATATGTAGTGGCATCTCATTGTGACTTTATTTGCATTTCCCTGACAACCAGTGAAGTTCAGCACATTTTTATAAATTTATTGGCCACTTTGATATTCTCTTTTGTAAAATGTCTATTCAGATCTTTTATTCATTTTTCCATTGGGTTTTCTGATTTTTTTTATTGATATGCTAGAGTTCTTTATATGCTAGATTTTAGCCCTTTATTAGATACATACATTGTGGATATTTTCGCCTAATCCATAGACTGTCTTTTCACTCTCTTACTAATGCCTGCTGATTGAAAAAAGTTATTAATTTTATGGTAGTCCAGGTTTTCAAAAACTTTCTTTATAATGTACATATTTTGAGTTGTGTTTAAGGAATCTTTTGCTACTTCAAGGTTACAAAAGTCAAAAGTACAAATAACTTGACTTAAAAATGGACAAAGAACCTGAATAGATATTTTCCAGAAGAAGACACAGAAAGGTTGAACAGGTACATGAAAATGTGCTCAATATCATTAATCATGAGGAAATGCAAATTAAAACCACAGTGAGCTATCATCTCATTTCTGTTAGGATGTTTATTATCAAAAGGACAAGAGAAAAATGTTAGCAAGGGTGTGGAGAAAAGGGAACTTGTACACTGTTGGTAGGAATGTAAATTGGTACAGCTGTTATCAAAAATAGTATGGACGTTCCTCAAAATATTACAAATAGAACTTCTGTGTGATTCAGCACCCCAACTTCTGAGTATATACCCAAAGAAATTGAAATTAGTACAGTTGGCCCTCCATATTCTCAGGTTCCACATCTGTGGATTCAACCAACTGTGTGTAGAGAATATTTCGGTAAAAAATTCCAGAAAGTTTCAAAAAAGGAAAACTTGAGTTTACTGCGTGCTGCCAATACTATGTTTACATAGTATTTACAATTATTTACATAGCATTTACATTGTATTCGGTATTATAAATAATCTAGAGATGATTTAAAGTTTACAGGAGAATGTGCATAGGTTATATACAAATACTATACCATTTTATATATGGGACTTGAGCATCTGAGGATTTTGGTATCCACAGGGGGTCCTGGAACCAATCCCCCATGGATACCGAGGGATGACTGTATCTTGAAGAGATATCGGTATTCCTATATTCATTGCAGAATTATTCACAATAGCCAAGACACTTATGTCCGTCTTTGGATGAATGGATAAAGAAGATGTGATACACACACACACACACACACAAACACACAAACACACACAGTAGAATATTATTCAGCCACAAAGGAAGGAAATCCTGCCATTTGCAGCAATGTGGATGGACCTTGAGAGCATTATGCTAAATGAAATAAATCAGACAGAGAAAGACAAATACTGTATTATCTTACTTAACATGTAGAACCTAAAAAAGTTGAACTCATAGAACCGGAGAGTAGAATAGTTGTTGCTAGGGATTAGGGGGTGGGAGAAATGGGGAGATGTTGGTCAGATTTTCAATTATATGATGAATAGTTTCTGGAGATCAAATGTACAGCATGGTGGCTA